GGCGGGCCGGCGGGCGGGCTGGCTGGTGGAGGAAGCGGCGCACGAACCCTTTGGAGCTCCGGGCACGCAACGCCCCCTCTCCGTAAAGTTGATAAGCAGGACCTCCCCCCCCTCCGCCCCCTCCCGTGAAATGTCTCCTAGCTTCTAGGGAGGGATCTGTTTTCCGGATCTGGAGAATTCCGTTCTTTCCTTTTCTCGGGGTGGAGTTGGAGAGGTTTGGTCAGTTTTGGGATGACTCAGGGAAGTGTGCTGTGAAACCACTTACCATACCTCCCTGCCACCGCGTGGAGAGGCATTAGAACTGGATTTTGATGGAACTGGCCATCGTTTCAGTGGGATGATTTTACCTGCATGCTACCCGTCAAAGACAGCCTCCACGTGTTTTATTATTGATGCCTTAGGTGCCCCATGTTGTATCTATCGGATATGGCACACAAATGTGTTCTGTTTGAAACCATGTTGAAACAATTTTTTTGCAGTTTGTGGGTAAACAGGTCATATTAAGCTCCTATCTGAAATAAAAGAATATGGAGAACATAGTCACTACTACATGCAAATTTGTGAGAGGGCAAAAACAGGCATAGTGTTGCATTTGCAAACATGTGTATCAGAGCAATCCATCCCTCCTCCAATGGAGAAGCCCTGAGCGTGGGGTTGGCATATCTGTTGGAATGCCACAGAAAGTGCTACTACTATAGTATGACTGTTAACTGCTGGTGATGGCAGTAGATAGCAAATTACTCTCAAAAACAGGACATTCTGGGGACAGAATAGAAATAGCATTAGATGTTGCCACTAAAGTCCCTTTTCTTTGTGAGGCCTCCAGAGCAGAAAGTCCTCTGTGTAAGTCTTTACTTGATATAACTAATTCCTCCTATTATTTTGAGGGGAGACTAATAAAGGATCCACCATGGGCTCCAAGGGAGAAATCAGGTCCTGCTTTTCATTCAGAAGTGGGGAATTTGAACAAGAAGAGCTTTGTAAATGACATAGGATTCACAGTGTGTTCGCATCTCAACCTTACTGATGTACTGCACTCACAATTTCAGTAATTTTGTATATAACTATGATTTAACATAGGGTATCATTTGTCCGTTTATGTGAATGACCCTTATGATATTTACATGACTTGACAGTGTTCTGAAAGTATTTCCAGCCAGTTTCCTTCAGCCCCAATATAATTGCCTGTGTGGGATGCATTGGGAATGAGTTGTGCAAATAGTGGAATTCCTGCAAAACTTTTACCGTATTGAAAATTCAAACCAAAGCTGCAATGCAAATTTTACTTATCAACGTGTTAACTGCCACTGACCTCAAAGGAACTTGGAGTAAATATGTTTTGGATTGGGTTAGCAATCTTAAATTTCGAACACTACTTGAAAATGGCAGTGTAAGATATGTTAATGAGCAGTAGCGGCAGAGGGCTGATGCTGTCATGTTCTGCTTGCTGGCATCTTGTTGGACCTAGTGGGAAATAAGGATACTGAAATAGATGGACCATTGGTGTGAATTAGCTTTTCTAATAGTATATAGAATACATTGACTTAAAATAGATGTATTAAAAAAAAATATTCTATTGTCAGTGTCCTGAGGAAAATACAAAAGTTCCTTTTCAATATTTAGCTTAATTTTAGCCTACTAACCTGAACACTGAAGTATAAAGAAGATAAAACTAATATAATGCAGCTTCTAGTTACAGGCAGAAACAAAGAACTATGAAAGTCATTGAAACCTAGTCATTGGGTCCTTCTGCTTTATCTCATCTGACATTTCCCAGACATTTTACACTTGCTTTCAGAATCATTAAATATTGAAAACTGAGGTTGATATTCTTTGGAAGGTGAATCACACATGTAATACTAAATTCTAAACAGGTACCACACTTTTGCTGCACTTTTGTGGAACTGTAGAATAAACAAACCATGGCTATGGCAAGGAGCTAGAGGTGCACTTCTGTTAGATCCTGCTGCTTCTGCCAGAATTGGAAATGTGTATTACCTCCTGTTGTACCCCATTCACTCTTAAAACCTGCCCCCAAAGTTGCAAAAGAATCTACAGCAGTTTTCTTGGCACCACTGAGTGTTGTGGGGGGGGGGTAGAGGAGTATCTTATATTAATGCTAGATATAGGAATGTATTTTGTCCTATATTTTAAAGTAAAAGTAAAACTAGAATCTCACTCTCTTGCCTAAAACAGGGAATAATTCATAATTCTAAAAATTGGTTCTGGTACCTAGAAAGAAGTAGTTTACAGTTGTTCTCAAAATTACTTTGAAAAAGTGCATATTAAGGGTACAGTTTGAAAGCCAGTGTGGTATAGTGGATGGTGCGGAGGCCTGCGTTCAATCCCTACTGGACCATGGAAACTCACTTGTGGGGTGGTAGTGGTAAATCATTCCTGAAACATCTCACATATCTTGGAAATGCTGATAGAGTCAATGAAAATCAGAAGAAACAGTCCTAGATACAGTACACTTAACTGGAAGTAGGTTCCAAAGAACTCACTGAGACCTGCTTTTAAATAGATATAAGATTACCCCACAAATCACTTTATAAGGATGCCTTTCCTCTCCATTTAACTTTTGACTTTAATCTTTGACATTCCGAAAGTTTTTTTAAAAATAGTTGTAAAAAAGGTTCCTTTTGAGCTGTTGCTTACCTTGCAAAGAGGGTGTCCTTTTTCAGAACGCTATCAGAATACAGTACAGGAAAGGGGAGTCTGTGTTATACTTGTAGAATCAACAATGGAAAAGAACTTTGGTCAGCCCCTTCCTTTTACTTTCCCCCACACTTCCAGAATGATCTGAGGATTGAAAGGGCCCCACAGAAAAGTTCCAGCCCAAACAGTGGCTGGTAGGCCAAGATGAAGACCCCTGCTAATTGGCATACGCGTGAAGCACCAGTTCCCAAGGTAAAATGCAGCTCCTGCACATATAGGGCAACACCTAGCTCTATGTAGATTTTGTGGTCCATGTGAGTATACACTGCAGTATATTACAAATTTTAGAAGAGCAGTCAGTCCTCTATCTGTTGGCTTGCATGTATTCAAAGTCACTGAGTTGGCATTTCAGTGATGTGTCTTATTTGGTTGCTGGCCATTTAGTGAATGGTGCAGAAAGTACAGTGGCCTGAATCCAGATTCTGTTCTCTTTCTGCCTGCAGCCATTAGCACTGCCCAAATCTAGGAGTAGTACTGCAGTGGGGAGAAAAGGTTGTCCTTTCATGGTTTTGCTAATGTTGCTAACAGTTGTGTTGTTGGATGCCCCCCCAGGATTAGGTTGATGGGTTGTGAATCCAGAGCTGCAGGCAATAGCCTGACAAATTTGGAGGAAAAAATGAGTGAGAGGATATCAATAGAACTTGTAGTCATTAGTCAGCACTGCTGTGTTTTTTGAAAATTAGTGTAAAAGTAGATATATTCTTCTCTAGACACTGAACTTTGGCTGCATGGTGATCGTCAACATATTTTGATGAAACCGATAATCAGAGGAAGTGAGCTTTAGTGGAGATATCTCTAGTAGTTTTTAATCTAGTAGCATTTCACTTGATTAGTTTCCTTGAAATGTGTTGGGAACCGTATGTTTATGATTTATGCTTCTAGATTTTTGTCATCTGTTCTTGGTCATACATGTTCATGAATAGGTCCATACCAGTTGCTTTCATTAAGACAGTACACAACTTTCTAAGAAGACTGTTTCTAGTCCCAGTGAAGTGACATCTCCTGAGACTAAGTAGGCAGTGTGACACTGGCTGCAGCAACTCATTATCCCCATGTTATCTTTAAATTGAATTCAATCTTCAATTCAATTAAATCTTCAAATTCAATTCACATTGGAGCAATTGCCATCAAAGGTGACCTGAAATGTGTAGGGTTGCATTGTCTGTGGTTTTTTAAAAAAAACACATTGGATTCTAGTGACAAATAGCAAATTTGGCTGCTACTATATGATTAATTTATTTGAAGGCACTAGTCCTATTTCTTCTCAGCTGTTATTTTAAATACTTTTCGATAACAAACTTGTTATTTGTTGCTAGATGTGTTTTTTTAATGTTTTTTAAAAACCCCCCACAAAAAACAGACACTGCAATCCTACACATTTCAGGTCACCTTTTGAGATAAATATATCTCAAAAGGCCAATAATTTGGATATACTGTAGTTCACTTCCAGTGCTGAATATATTTTGGTTGTTAAGTCCCTTTCATGTGCCACATTTTACAGATTTCCTGACTATTTGCATATCTGGATGCTGTATCTCCAGTCATTTTAGCCCTGGTTACATTGTACTTACGTCTACCCTGCAGCAACACCGCTGTCTGAAGTGAAGGCTGCATAAAACTCAAGAGGAGACTTATGCAATTAGGAAATGAGATCTACAGTCATCATGCCATACAGCTGAGGAAGTTAAATAGTTCCTGAATGGGCATCGGTTTCCCCACCTTTGTTCTCTCCCTTTTGGCAGTCATTGGAACCTATTTTTGTGCCAGGAAAGTAGCCAAAACATTTTTCTGTAGAAGTGCCAATTTGGAAGCCTGTCCTACATTTTGCTGAGCTAGGACTCTAAAACACGTGTCACATTCCTAGACATCATTCTCACATTTTAGGGGATTGGCCTTCAAATACTTTTCAAGTGCTCATTACTGTATTGTATAGAATCTTTAGACCTGTTGGTGTAGAAGTGGCTCAAGTTTTCTCCCATTTCAATGAATCTCCACATCAGCAGATAAAGAGAAATAAGCCTTTTTACCTTTTGTTGTATATTCCTAAAATTACTAATTTATGAAGTAATGCAGATCTTTGGTAAAACAAGTATGACAGGATAAATTTAACTGTATCTTATATAACTGTATATAAACATTCTAAGATCCAGCAGCATGATGATAGAAGTTTGAGAGAGAGAGAGAGAGAGAGAGAGAGAGAGAGTGAGTGTATGGGAGGGGAGAAAAAGGTAGAAAACCAATGACAGGAAGTGGTTCAGTGACTCCAAAGGTGTTCAGACTTGTGATTCACACTTAAGTGACAAGGAGGGTTAAAATGGGCTAATGATAGATCAAGCAAACAGATGATGAGGAAATAAGATCTGCAACTGTGACTACCCATGTTTGACAGGTGTTAGAGAGAGAGAGAGAGAGTGTATGGGAGGGGAGAAAAAGGTAGAAAACCAATGACAGGAAGTGGTTCAGTGACTCCAAAGGTGTTCAGACTTGTGATTCACACTTAAGTGACAAGGAGGGTTAAAATGGGCTAATGATAGATCAAGCAAACAGATGATGAGGAAATAAGATCTGCAACTGTGACTACCCATGTTTGACAGGTGTTTGGTAATCTCATGCTCTTGACTGAGATCTAATAATAGCCATATCTCCTTTAAAAGTTACAAAGAGGTGTGGAGAGAAGGGATCAAATGTCAGATGGTCAGTGACCTGAGAATATGACCAAAAGATGTCTTTGTTCTTTCTATACTCTAACATTGATTGTTTAAAATGAGCAGATCACTTAGGACTGTGTAATATAATCTTTGCTGACAGGCTCTTCAGCCTGGACAAGACAGGACAAGACTTGAAAAAAGAAAAAGGAGGAGTAGGAGTGGAAAGGTGACATGATAGTGGTAGAAGGTAATTGTGTAGCAGGTCAATAGAAAGGCTGTAAGGAATGGGAATGTAAACTGTGCCTGCAAGGAGGGTAAAGAATTGTCTCTTAATCAAAGTAGGAAGCTTTTAAAAACAAAAGGGAAATAGGTGTACAGCAAGAATTGTAGAGGAAGAGCAAGAAGGGATTAAGAGATGGGTGTGCTTTCACACATGGTAGGAAAATATTTTCACTCTGTTTCAGTGGTGGGGATTTGGTATGTGTGCAGTGATTTTTTATCATTTAACAGAAATTTACTACTTCTAAGGAGATGGAATCTGTTCTATGCAGTTAGATATATTTACAATACGCAATACAAAGGCATTACTAACTAGGAATATATTCGAGCCAAGCCTTAAAGATCTATAACAAGGTTTCCTTGACTACAAAGAGACTATAAACTTGTTTCCTCCAACATTGACCTCACATGCAGTAGAGAACATTGCTTGTAGAAACCAAAGAAACTTTCCAAAACAGTTTGTGACACAGTAAAGGAGTCATCTATACAAAGATAGGTTGTATATCTACTGGGCTTAGCACAAGTCCTTTGAGCATAAGCAACTCTTGTATGTCAGCCCTAGTGTTGCAAAACTGCAGTTGTAAGATTAGACTCCCTCTCATCTGAACAAAGGAATAGGCTACAGTCTCACTGTGCAGTTGGTTGAGCAGAACTTCACAAACTCTTACATCCAGGACATTGATGACACCATTTGTGATCACAGTAATCCCTTCACTAGAGTTGGAGGGCAGCAGCTGCAGTGCCATGAATTGAAGCACGTTTCCAACTCCTGTTTGGCCAGATTTTATGTGCATGCTTTCATTTCATTGAACAGCGAAGACTGAGGAAGAGAGAGAGCAACAGAAATCAGTCTGGCTGTATTAGAGAATAGCTTTGCTAGCCTATTTCAGGAGCAGTAGGCTATCATGTTTTCCAGATCACAATCCTGCACCAAATAGCTGAGTGTGTTATTTTCCCAACGTTCAGTCTGATGTGTATTGCTTATATAGTGATATAGACAAACACAATACAGTACTGATTTTATCATTACTATCTTTTTGGTTGGATAGATTTGAAGAAGCAGGTATTTGCTGCAACAATATTATTTTAATCTAGTGCTGAAGATGTTTCACTAAGGTGCTTTTTCAGGTTCCCTCTCATTTGTCTTTCAGTATGAGTAACAAAAAAGGAGAAGGGGAGGGAGCATGAAAACTTTTCCTTTGATTTCCTATTAGTTATTGCTGTACTGTACCCTTACAGTACCTTTTTCTTATTAGGATGGACTTGAGAGGAATAATTTGGATTTAAAAGTAGACTTACCCACCTTGCATTCTTTTTAAGGAGAAAGGCAAGATAACAATATTTAAAATAAATAAATGTATCTGAAATTAAAGGAAGGTTTCTTCTGATAGAAGAATTAAACCTCAAATTCCTCTCTTAACAACAAAATATCACATACCTCTTAATAAAGTGAGGTCAAATTACAATATGAGTCAGAAAGAGTAACATGCAACTGCTGTTGAAAGTTCAGGCAAAGAGAATGGATTTAGCCTATCATGTAAAATGTTAACAAATATGTTAAGCAAATATGTCTTTGTGGTAATTTTGTAACCAGGATATTGTTACGGAAGATAGCCTTTCACTGGTGGCTTAGCATTTAACCTATAGAGATAAGGATACCTGTAGTCTGATGACCTTCTAAGCAAGCCTTCCCCATCTGGTGCCCTAGAGATGTGCCAGACAGCAGTGGTGTTTGAACTTGACAAGGATGGCTGATGGTCATGCTGGCTAGGAACGATGGGAATTCTTGTCTCTTACTTCTGGAGTTTACCAGTTTGGGGAAGGCTATTCTGTATGATGAATTAGAAGGTTTGAAAAGAGACTTTGTTTCACATTACATCTTAAGGAATTCCTTTGCTGGTTTGATCAGATCAGATGATGCCTTGTGAGCTAATACCATTTCAGCTCAACAGTGTCCAGATGCCTTGTCAGTCTGACTGTGTCAGGCATATATATGTCTTTGCTGGGATGAACTGATAAAGAGATTTCAGCTAGAAGAGGTCAGGAGTTGCACAGTGGAATAGAAGGAGTGAGTTGCTGCCTTAGAATCAAAGAAATGAAGGCCTGTGGGAAATGAAAGTACAGTGGGGTCTCTACTTAAGAACTTAATCCGTATTGGAAGGTGGTTCTCAAGTTGAAAAGTTCTTATGTTGAATCTGCATTTCCCATAGGAATGCATTGAAAACCATTTAATCTGTATCTGCTCTTTTCCGTCCATAGAAACTACAGTGGAACCTCTACTTAAGAACTTAATCCGGTTTGGAATGGTGTTCTTAAGTTGAAACGTTCTTAAGTTGAAGCAAAATTTCCCATAGGAATGGACTGAAAACCGATTAATCCGTTCTGGCTGTTTTTTTGTTATGTAGAGGCGCGTTCGTACGTTGAAGCATTAGTTCCCATAGGAACTAATGCAAAGCTGGTTAATATGTACTCTACCACTAGGGGGAGAATTTTTTTTAACCTAAGATGACCTAAGGTTAAAAAAAGAGCAGGAAAGGTTTTTTTTCCCCTGTTCTTATCTTGGATTTCTGTTCTCAAGTAGAAGCAAAATTTAGCAAATGGAGCTGTTCTTAAGTTGGATTGTTCTTAAGTAGAGACGTTCTTAAGTAGAGACCCCACTGTAGGCATTTGTTTATTGGAATCCAATAATGAGTAAGTAGTGGCAAAACAAATGTTCTTGGCTAGTCTTGGTTAACAACTGGCTGCTGCATTCTGAGCCAGCTAAACCTTCTCTAAGTTTCTTAGACACGTCTGCATAAAATGATCATAATAATTGAGCTTAGGTGTTACTAGAGCATGGAAGCTGTGGAGAGATTGAACAGTCTGCTACTGCATTTTGAATATATTGCTATTTCAGAGCTATGAGGTGGTTTTGTACAGGTGCTTTCTGGAATTCTAACTGAATTGGAGGAGTTTCTGTTTATGGAACCACAGTTCTCTTAGACAGACAATGGGATGCAACTTTCTGTTTTACAGCATTAGCAGAAACAGTGGATGCAGCCTTATGTATGTTGGAAATTCATGTCACACTTTTGTGACAACTGTATTGATTATGCTGTGTGAAGAGTATGCACTAACTTTGGAAAATATGTTTGTGAAAGACAAGCTGACACATAGGAATGATGAGGGAAACATTTTGGTTTATTTAATACATAGTTATTAGAATTAAGCAATTGAAATATATTTTTCCCCATTTACCTAGTTTTGGAAGAATTGAATTTAATGAATGTCATTTACACCAAAGACAATGGATATTGTTCATGAAATATTGTCCTGAAAAATGCATAGTAAAACTATATGATACTTTATTATTTGCTTTAAAATAGCCTCTTTAAAATCTTTATTTATGAAACTGTTTCTGCATTTAACTATGAAGTGTAGTGCAGGTTGGAAATACCTTATCAGGGTTCCTGATTATTTTTTTTTCTTGCTGATCAAAGAAATCATAACATGGCAGCATGGTTCAGCTTTCTGTGTCAACTAAATTCAGCAGCATGAAACTAAATTTACAAAATGCTGGCTGAATCTGCTTTTATATAACAGTGCTTGTAGTTCTTGCTATTTGAAACAATGACCAGTATCCTGTTGCACAGCTCTACCTGCACAGTGGGAATGATGACATTGTCAGCAATAGGCTGCTCCTGATGAAAGACTTCATTTTTTTAATTTTGCGGTGCAAGTGACTTCATCTTACTGCATGCAAGTCATGCATGCCCTGTAACTGAAAAGACAATTCTTTGACAACCTGCCCTTTGCAATGATATTCATGTTACACAGGCAGAACTGCTCAACAGGATGCTGGCCAATAAAGTTTGTCTGTCTTTCCTGGGTCTCTTTGATTATTGGTAGTTAATGTTAAAGGATCTACCAAATACAGAGCTAGTTTTCTGTGTTTTTGTAAAATGAGTTATATGAAGAACAACAAGTGTGTCATATTTTGTTTCTGGTTTGCTACCTGTGTAAAGGAATAGCATGGGAATTTCATTCATATGTTTTTATTTTTCAGGAAACCCAACGCTTGCTGGCAGAACCTGTTCCTGGAATAAAAGCAGAGCCAGATGAAAGCAATGCACGTTATTTTCATGTGGTTATTGCAGGTCCACAAGATTCCCCTTTTGAGGGTGGGACATTTAAACTTGAACTATTCCTTCCAGAAGAATACCCAATGGCAGCTCCGAAAGTACGTTTCATGACCAAAATTTATCATCCTAACGTAGACAAATTGGGAAGAATATGTTTAGATATTTTGAAAGGTAAGTATTTTGCAATTGCTGTAAGAATGACATATTTTCATCAGTTTCCTAAGAAAGCTGAAAGACAATTGCAGTGATTTTGTAAGGGGAGGGAGTTCTGTATTTAAAATGTAGCTTTAGTGCTCTCTAAATTGCTTCCTCAGATAAATGGTCCCCAGCTTTGCAGATCCGCACAGTTCTGCTATCAATCCAGGCTTTGTTAAGCGCTCCAAATCCAGATGATCCACTAGCAAATGACGTAGCTGAGCAGTGGAAGACCAATGAAGCCCAAGCCATAGAAACAGGTGGAGTATATCCTTATTCTAGGTTCATTTTAATTGATTTATGTATAAAACCGTCTTATCCCAAACGGAAAAGCCCAAAGTCTAGCAAAAGCACTTTTAAAAGTCATTCTTCACACAGTTGCTTCAAGTTCCAAGTAAAAGAGTTCAGGTACTGTAGATATAGAATGGATCCAGGATTTGGGGACCAAATTAAATGGGATGTTAATTGCATTAACACCATGTGCATAACTAATATGCATTTTTAAATTGTAAATTGCAGCCAAAGGGAAGCTTGAGCTGGCAAAGGGGGGTGGGAGAGAATAGAAGCAGATACTCAGCTGTCTCTCCTTGCTACACCCATGGACAAAAAATGTATATATTTAAAAAAAACATTTCCATGTTGATGAAAACTTTTTGGAGGCTTACCTTGAAATGCAAACATCAGTTTCACTTTTGAGTGGGCTTAGCAGTGGGAGAGAGAGAGTTTAAGTTCCCGCCTCAGTGCTGTGCATCTGGTGCTGTGCAGGCTTCCTTTCAAATGCTTCTTACGTAACAAAATAAAACAGATGCAAGTTGCAAGCAGAAACAGCTAGTTTGGTTTCAGAAAGATTTGGTTTTCTTAATGGAAGTTATGTTTTAAAGCCTAATATGTTTTAAGGTTTAGATGCAAGTGTTTGTGAGTGTTTCAGATTGTGTGCATGTGTGACAGAATGAAATTGCTGAAGAGGGCCATATTGTAGCCATGGTAACTTCTGCAGTTTTGGGCCTAAATTAGTCAGCTTGCCCAGCTCGAATAAACCTGTTGGATCAGTGGCTTTTATACGTGTTGACTTAAAATTCTGCAGTTGATATACTGGATCTCCTTTAGTTGGGACTTGCAATTGAGTTTAGCCATTAAAGGCCTGTATTATAACCTGAAATTGTGAAAGTGGCCGTGGGGAAATCTGACCTCCCAAGCAGTAAAGTTCCTAGTGCAAGTGTGTACATAGATCCCTCTCAAACATTTACAAATAGTAAACGGTTTTCCTGTAAATGCATGTTGCATTTGTAGAGATGACTAAAGCCTTTCTGAAGGATGGATGTATGATAAAGTTAATTGAATCAGTGTGCCATGTATTTGTTGCAGTTATTCTGCATCTTGCATGACTGTGTAAAGCCATTATAAGTTCAGAAAAATGAGACTGTAAGAACTATTGAAACTATGGCAATTGTGATACTTGAACACTTTATCATATATAGTTATCCACAAAAACAGTAATAGAAAACTGCTTTTTATTGTATGCTTCAGGGGAAAAGAAAGATGTGTGGGAATAGAGCATATTGTAACAAGTTTAAGTAGGATGCTTCATTGTCTAATACATGTTTTTTTTCTTTACAGCCAGAGCATGGACTAGGCTATATGCCATGAATAATATTTAATATGTGCTCTGAATCAGTGTGCATCACTTTTTCCTGTTCTGCCAAGACCTCTTCCTTTTTTGTTTGCATTTAATGGACACAGTCTTAGAAAACAATACAGAATAAAACCCAGACATCAGTTCTTTGGTGGTTTAAATGCACACTAGCAAATCTGTGTCTTGTCCTAATTCACTCCTGTTCCGCATGAGCAGAGGCTAGAAGTATCATCGGGATTATTTGTGAAATTGTTTAAAAGCAGTAGCACACCTCTGCTTTTAATAAATTTTTCCCATCATGAGCTAAGTGTGAGCACTGTGAATGAAAGTAGTCAGGGTTAGCTGCAGGGATTTTTGTTCTAATTGTGTGGGCTCTTTCTCCCCTTTTTATGGTGATGCTAATTGCATTGGTTAAAGCAGCTAACCAGTTATATTATAGAATCTGCCCTCTAGCCAAGTCTAACTTAGACACTGTAGATGGACAAGCTTGGTTGTTTGAACAAAAATGGGAACATTAAACATCCATTCACTAATAATATTGTGATTCTGCTGTCAAGTGTAAAAAACCCTCCCTTCAGGGAATAAAAGCTTGTGACCATTTTGTATGGCTTGTCTGGAAAATCTTCTGTAAATCTTATGTTTTAGTAAAATATTTTGTTATTCTACTTTGCCTTTGTACAGTTTGTTTTGCTGTGTTCTTTTTTCACATTTCCATTGTGACAATCGTATTTTTTTTTAAAGAAAATGAAGCCAGATTGGAGCATTTTGATTTTTTTACCAACTTAATGGATGTAGTGAAAACATTGGATGTTTTGCTGGCTTGTATTAATAGACCATACCTCATTAGTGTTCATAATCCTTGTTTTTGTTTTTTTAAAAGCCTCTGGTAAATGTAGTTGCTTATCAGAGTCATAAGTAGGTTAGATGCATCCTTTATATGTATGTACTTGCAAGTACCACTGAAGCAGGAAACTAGCAAAGCAAACAGCAATTTGAGTGTATGTGTAATTTGTCTGTCTTGTGCTAAGTATTATGAGGTATCAGACTACACATTTAAAGGTGACTTGCATCTTAAGGCAAACTAACAAAATCTTCTGTATAAAACAAGATGTTACAATACAGGCAAATTGGTTAGAGTACAGGTGAATTGGTTCTTAATGTATTTACAGCAAGCCTTGTTAACTCTGGACTTACCTGCAATCATTAAATGATTAATTTTCCCCTTATCTCTTTTGTTTGGGCAAAAAAAAAATCTATTGTTTTTTTAAGCCATCTTGTTTAAATGTAAATAACAGACGGAGCAGATTTTGACTGAATTTCCAACTTCTATGTCCCCTAAAACTTCCTCTTCTGGCCCTACTTCTTTCCCTTGACTATCTTCTGATCTCTCTGCTTTCACTGTAATGCCAGCTTGCCATGGCTAATGTCTTGTCTTGCAGTTCAGGATGGATAGTATAGGTCTCTGCCCATCATACCTGTTCTAGCATCATTGGGGGTTTCTCTAGAATGTGGTGTATGTATTGTGCTCTTATGTAAGATAAAGAATATCTATTAAAATCACATTTTCAACAGACAAAATGCTTTTAGTGATGGTATTGTCCCTCAAATTAACTGCATTATAGCACAACAAAAAGGCTGCTAATAATGTACTTCAACAAGAAAGAGACCATTCCCCCAAATTGTGTTTAGCTGAGGTTCTGTATGGGATAGTATCTGGGGTTGAATCTAGTCTTTCTCTGTTACTTGATTAATGGCACCACTGCTGTAACAGAACTGTTCATACATTTTAAATTGCTATGCATTTCATTGATTAGAATGAATATATACAAATCAATAGTTATATTGAAGTGTAATCCTAAGTGTGTTTTACTCAGGAAGGAGTTCCCCCCTAGTAAACCTGCTTAGTCTTACAATCTTAATTTTAAGAAAACATGTTTACTTGATCCTCACATTGCAAATAGTTTTGTGTATTTTGACACTCACAGATATGTTAGCGCTTTTCTGATATTCAGAATGCTTTGACACTCTTGTTTTTAAATGTTTCTGACAGCAGAGGTTTTACATTTGTGTACCTTACCTTCTGGGATTAAACCACTGAAATGTATTCCTAGAAAAAAATGACGCACAAGCTGTTCTTAAAACATACCAAGCACCATTTTGAAGTACACGTGACCAGCTGTGTTATTAGAACTTAGCTGGATTATGCCCTGTGTTTGAAAGCAAACATTAAGCACTTAGTGCTGAATTTCAGTGAGAAGGTTGTAGTTTGATCCTAAGCATGCTTGTTTGCAGTAAGTGTCACTGAGTTCAGTGGACTTTGTTCTTTCATGTGTATGCATAGGATTGCACACTTAAGCATATGGATAAGTGTCTGCTGTTGACATAACCATGACTTAATAATGTTTAAATTTTGTTTTGTACCTTCTTCCCCTTCTTGTGTGTAGTCAATATCTGTAAATGTACATAAGCAACTATTTGAAACAAGATCTTAAACTCTGGCAGCAGTGCTCAAGGGAGGTGTGTGCACTAAGCACTGGATGTTTTTCCTTGTGTAAGTTGTCTGTGGAATCTTGCACTGCATTCAAAACCCACTAAAATTGTTTTGGATCTTGTTGCAAAAGCTGCTTTATAGGAATCTGTTACTGTTGTGTATGCTTCTTGTCTTTAAGTACATTGAAAAACAGTTCTTGTGCCAAATCCCCCACCCTGTTTTCTAAAATAAGGAATTTGCGTATTCCATAGGACAGTAGTTAAGAGGGAAACTCCAAAATGCCCCTCTCAGTTCTAGCTCTGTTAAAGAGTGATTTTAATTAAAGTTAAAATGACTTTTATCTCTCAATCCTATCTGTGTCTCTCAACCATTTTAATTCTAGCAGTGTAACTAGAGTTATTGAGGGATACTTGAATTTTGTCTGTGTGTATTTGATGGAACTGATGATATCTGATATAAAACTGTGTCTCCACCCCTTTAGAAAAATCTAATTTACAAAATTAACTCAAACTACAATTCACAGCCCATGTATACTAATGCAGCTCTGCTGAGTATGTGTTCTAAACAACTATTCAATGATAAATAGGTCATATATTGTAGATTGTTTTGCATCTGAACTGGCTGGAATAATTCCATTGTCCTTAATAACACAAGTCAAATTATTTTTTAACCTACCCAATTAGATCTGTAGTTTGGAAATGTATTTGCTTTATGATAGTGAATAACTAGTAAATGACTGTATTTCTTTTCTGAATTTCATTACAGGTGTTTCACGTTACTCCTGGTGCTAATAATTCATTGAGTTAAAGATTTCCCTGGTGTATATACCAAATTATGAGCCCCAAGCTTAAATTAAAATAATGTTTACAGTAATAATCTTTTTCCTGAAGTTAGTAACTATAGATAGATCTTATATCTGTAGTAAAATGTTCTTGAAAGGAGGAAAACCTAAATGATATACATCCATGCTTTGCATGGATAAGCTTTGTAAGTGACAAATGAAAATAGTGACTATCGAGTAATTTATAGCTAAAATAAATGTAGTTTCTGCTTTTAACAGAAGCATATTTCCAGCACATTATGGTTACTGTAAAGCATTATCTGGGGTAGTTGAATCAGATTTTGTATATTTGAGCTTAATGTACATTCCTATCATTTTCAGGGTTATTTTAACGTGATAGATTCTGTTTAACATCTTCTGACTGTAATGTAATGGCACTGAAATAAAAGGAAGAGTGATTATTCCTTATACAGTGAGCTTCTCATTTTAAGTAAAGGTCAAATTACCAGTAGAATGCTGGTGTTCTTAGAGTTTGTGCAAAGAAGACAAAAGGATATAATCTGTTCAGTGATCTCTAAACTATAGCTCTTCAGTCTGAGAAGGTTCTTCAGGTCCTGGTAAGTAACTGTGGAATCACTGAGGTAACAAAGTATCAAGGTTTAAAGGGTTTTTAAAAAATTGAAATAGATCAGGAGTCATGGGTGCAGTTGAAGCACTAGGAGCAATACACTCCTCTTGTCCACTCAGTTGGCAATCTTGCAGTTCTGTTCTGACCTGAGTGTTTTTCTAGAGGTTTAGCTCACAAAGAGTGATGCTGCAATATCCCCTGAGCAATGGTCTGATACTTCAGGGATAATGTACAGTCATCTAGAACACAAGAAAACCATGTGATGGGAACCCCCATTTGATTCTTGATACTGTAGTATTTACATACTGAATTCATTGCTGTGGTATACCAAGCCACCTTTGTAGTAGCAAACTTGTGTGTTGGGATGTATTGTTTAGGAAGTTGAATAAGGCCACTCAAATATGAGTATCCCCCTCTTCTGACTAAGTCAACACTGTGTTTTGAGGGGAAAACTTTCAGGCAGACACTGAATGCCAAAATACAGTGGTGCCTCGCTTAACGATGTTAATTGGTTCCCCAAAAAACATTGCTATGGGCAAACATCGCTAAGCGAAACTCCATTTCCCATAGGAATGCATTGAAACCCGGTTAATGCGTTCCAATGGGAACGGATTACCGTCCTTAAGCGAAAATCGCCATAGGAAACATCGCTAAGCGAAACAATGTTTCCCCCATTGGAATGCATTGAAGCCTATTCAGTGCATTCCAATGGTTTTGCGATGTCCATTTTCGCTATTTTTAAAGTGTCTTAAAATGTCCAAAAACTGTTTTAAATGCTTGGGATTGTTAGTGCACCTTGTAAAACCTTTGCAAACTTAATTTGGCTTTGTTCTGAGTCTTCGTTAATTTTTGGTGAATTTTTTTCTCCCCCATTGGAATGCATTGAACTGTAGGTTTGACAGCTGTAAAGAAGTACAGATGAGTGAATAAAGAAGAAAGACATAAGACCATGCATTTGTACAGAAAACTCTTATATAATGTGAACATTGTTGCTAGTCCTTCAAGCCAAAATATGTGGGAAACCAAATGCAGGAAGAAGTAGTCCAGATAGGCGGGGTATAAATCAAATAAATAAATAAATAAAATAAAAATACTTTTCAGCTCAGAATCCTCAGGTTTGTTTATTTGCAACACATCATTGTTTAGAGATGCTACATTCAAAATCAGTACTGTGCCGATGATGTTTAGCCCCTGGTAGAAAAGGAACAACAGGATGAAAGAGTGGATGCTCTTTTATGGCCGGGATCTGCTTAGGATATTTTACTGTCTGAATCCTTTTTTACCCTGCAGAAGTTCATTCTGGCTGGTGACTGAACAGTTTCTCAACACTGGCAACAAGACAGCTTCTTCTGCCACTCCTGAGGGTGCCATGCTTAGTTAAGAGGCACAGGGCAAACTATGCATGGTCCACAAAACTCACAACCACTCACCATGGCTAGTGCCAGGCTGGCCCGATAAATAGTATTCTGAAAAGAAATGTACAATTTTCAGCACTGTCTTGAGAGTTCGCTGTATTTGTTTTTGACACTATGGCAAAAGTAGTACTTTGGTTGCAATCCTAAATATACGCTAAGAGTATGACTAGACAGAGTGATTGTTCTGTGCTGATTCACTGTCCTTATACCATGTAGTCACAGATCATACCATTTGTGTAATTTTTAAAAATCTACCACACTGCAAGAATTTTCCTTTAAGTGTTTAGTATGTGCCTTTTGAGCTGTGCTGCTTATCCATCTTCCTGCCCATGAGCTCAAGGCAGCATGCATGGCTGTCTTCCCCACTTTATACTGGTTCTCCAGCATAAATTCAGATCACTAAAGGTGAACTCTCACACATTGCTGAAGTGGCACATTTTAGCCAAAGGCTGAGATAAGGATGATGATTGGTCCAAAATCATCAATGAGTTGGGACTTTCTAACTACCACTGGCTTCCAGTCTGCTTCGTATCTGCTGTACATGCAGCTGTGTCGCAAGATTCATGTTTTGTGTCCACACGATTCATCAGTGGTTAACTGATCAAATGTCTTTAGGAACAAGAACACATCTGAAACCCAGTTGTGATAATCTGGCAATTTAAAGACTCCCTAATACCTATCTGCCTACTCCATGTGCTCAACTGTTTGTTACAATTTCCCCAAAATACTGCAACCCTTAATCTGAAAATAAGCCCTAGTACAGTACATTTTTCAGGATGCTCTTAATATTAGCGCTATCCCAAAAGTAAGCCCCAGTTTAAGTGAAACCCCGCCCTCCACCATTGTGCAGCAACCAGAAGACGACTGTATTTTAATAAATGTAGATTGTTGTATATGAACAAAATAAAACATCCCCTGAAAATAAGCCCTAATGCATTTTTGGAGCAAAAAATATACAACCCGGTCTTATTTTCGGGGAAACATGGTACATGCATTTTTGCTGATCAGCACCTGCCCTCCTCTTTAATACTGTGGCTATCTGGCCAGCTGTATAGATAATCTTGACTTTGCCCCCCCTTTTTTTGGCTACCCCTCCCACAATGCACTGGCTTCTTAGCTGTCTAAGCAGCAGCTGTTACAGAGATTGGCAGGTGATGAGCAAAAAACTCACCATCCTCCTCTTTTCCCCAAACTCAGTTCTGCTGTGTGGCAGCAGGAGGGTTTTTGCCAGGGTGAGCACAAAATTTGCAGAGCCTGCAGGATGTTAGGCTCCATAATTGTAAATAGGGTACTGATCTTACTGAACTACAAGCACATTATGTTAGGTATAAGAGCTGAGAAGCCTTGATGAAAATTTTTTTAAACCTCAGCCATGGACTTAGTTTAGCCATTAACTGAAATGTTGAACATTTTGAAACTAATGTAATGTTAAATAATCATTTTATTGATTTAATGCAAATAATGCTTTCTGACAATATGGCTTTTATGTTAGTTTTTACACAGGAGATGGTGAAAATGGTTGCTAAGATCTAATCTATGGACATATATGGTCATTGACCTTCACTGTGTAATTCTAATTTGATATGTTGGTTCCAATGCACAGTGCTGAAGTCAATATATTGAGGACAAGATGAAATGGTCCCATGAAATAACTTTATTTAGCAATGTATAAATGTGTGAAAGGTTCTGAATAGAAAAGGGCAATTTTATCTTTTAAGAAAAATAAGAATAAAATACATAGACTGAGATATTTAAAATACATAGATTTAAGGCTTCAGCCCTCCATATAACTACTACAATGAACTCATGGAGATTTAATGCTGAATGCATGGGTAAGAAGGGTGGTTCATATGAAAGCTTATTGTTAGAAAAGTATTGACTATAAATCAGAGAAACTAGAAAGAGGCCTATAAGGTCACTGAGTCCAACTTCCTGCTCTTTCCCTTGAATTCCTCCAATGTTGGAGAACTCACCACTTCTCAAGATAATTGGTTCCACTGATGTACTACTGCTCTAACAGGAGGTTTTTCCTGCTATTCAGCTTTCTGTCTAGAAACAAATGAGTGGTATACTAACCTAATTGGCAGCAACTCTCCAGGATCTTTTAAAAAAAAATAGACAGGTGGTGGTTGGAAAGATCTTTACCAAACTGGAGATGCCAGCCTTGGGATATCGTGCATGCAAAATATATGCTCTCTTTGAGCTGAACTGTAAGTGGAAAAAATGTCTTGCCAACAGAAAGGAGATAACAGTGATTCTCTTCAGTATAATTCAACATTTTCCACAAGAGTTGGTTGGGTTCTAGCTTTATAAAGCATCCTTGATCTGAAATACATCTGCGACCCATGTTCAGATTTGTGCTTAGTCATGGAAGCATACAGAACTAGACTGCACTCGGGGGAGCAGGATCTTAAAATAGGATATCTACTTCCTATTTTGATTTTATGTTTTGAGGTCCTTTTTTTAAACTTGGGAGTCTTTGTAAACTCCCCTGCCCTTTGGAAAAATCACTATTCCTGAATGCTTGCAGAAGGAAAAAAAATAGAGTATCTACTTCCCATTTTGATTTTATGTTTTGGGGTCCTTTTTTAAACTTGGGAGTCTCTGTAAACTCCCCTGTCCTTTGGAAAAATCACTATTCCTGAATGCTTGTGGAAGGAAAAAAAATTCACCCTTCCCCTTTAAAAATAGATTATTTCCCTCTCTGGCTGGGGCTCCTGAGGGGCTGCATGCAAAGTGCAATTTGCCCACCCTAAGACAAACATACAGAAACTGCTGCCAACAACTACACTTATGAAATCCAGTGCTACATAATAAAGGAACAACAGTCTTTGTAAACTGTTTCATTTTTTTTATTTTTGGAGGTTTCAGATATAAAAAGTCAAAATTCTTACATCAGTCTTTAAAAGAAAGCCATGCACACAGTTCGAAATCTTTACAACTTAAACATGTAGTTTGCCTTCGAATTTTTATGTCTCAGAAACGAGCTGAGCAATTGTTTCCAACATTTTGACAACAGCCAACTAGTTTGCAATAAGCACTGAGAATGAGATTTTTTTTACTTTTAATGTCTTGTACAACCTATATAAGTATTCTTGCAGTGTTTCAATTATACATTCCCAATTAACTATTTACTGTCTGAAATTCTGTGGCTTTGTACAGTCAGTTGCAACTAGAGTAGGCTCACTGAATCAATGGGGATTTGGTGTGTCATCTCCATAAATTCCACTGATTCAATAGGCCTACTCTAGTTGCAACTTTCTATGCTAAGCAACAGGATGTCAGCTACTGTAACAAGCTTCCACTACCTTAAGTCAAGACTTGTATATACTTATCTGTTAGTGATCGATCCCCTGATGTCACAAACCTGGTCTTAGTAAGTCCAAGACATAGATTGCCCTACAGAATCTGGTCCAAAACAACTTCTATCCCTCTGCTTGTGAAACCAGCTACAGGTTCAAAAATCACAAGAACAGAGTCCTAGATTTTCTTTCCACAATGCGGTTTACTATATGCCTTGAATCCCTCCAGATTTCATTGGAAAAACCAAACCTCTTACAGGTCTTATGCAATTGTCACATAATCCTAGCTAGAAAGGCATTCACTGTTATACTTCACACATACATGTTGCTGCTGTTCCTCTAAACTATTGTGAGCATCTTGTTCAGTATTTATGCAAACAGAATTCAAGCTGAGGTACTGTTTGTGTCCCTGGGTGCATGCAACCAACACCTTGTCAAATCAGCATGGCAGCTTCCACTGCTAGAGTTCCACATGCAGGTAAATACTGAACAGGTTACTGCGTTACGAAATCAGGCAACATTCACTTTTTTGGCTTTGTGTATGGTAGCCAATAGCCCAATGCATCTTTGCCATTCCAGTGTATTGCAGCTAGGGAGACTCTAAAATCTGAATAAGGGGCTTTATCTTAAATTGCATAGGCTGAAGAGATCTGTACACCAATATATTTAAAAGTATGTGGCACAGCAGCCTAGAGTATTTATAAGCCATCGCCTTTGATTTGGTTAGCATTGACAACTGTACATTTTTTACATAGTACATAATGTTAGAAAGGAAAGTATTCATGCATTATTAATATGCAGCTTCTATAAGCCTGGCATGGTTTTATGTTCCAAAAGCAAAACCTGAGATGAAAGTAGTTGCAGGAACCATAAATTCATTTGTTCTTATATTTATCATTATATTTATCATGTTACTACCATGTGATCAGTGAATAATAACTGAACAATGCATAGGAGTGTGAGGATAAAGTGCCAACTCAGAATTTAGGAAAAATGCACATATATTAGGAACCAACCATTTTCTCAATCTGATTAGTATAAACATTCACATTTACTGATGTGCCATTGCTCTGTAGTTTAACGTTTCTTTACTTCATCTAAAGAAGCATTTCTAGTATAAAACTTTCTGTGACTTACTGCTCTCCTCAAATATCTAAGATAGTATCTCCTGCCTTACCTGTGTGGTGGATGCTCAATTGTATATATATACAATTGTATATATATATATTGGTAGTACTTCTGGCTTTTAAGCAGCACTCACAACTATTCAAACTTCCTACTGATGTTCCTTATTTAACTGCATTTATATGGCACAAAATTGTTCCCGCATTTCCAGAGGGAAAGTTTATGGCACCAATGTTTTCCTTAAAAATTGTAACAGCAAGTGGCTTGATTTATAGCAGCATTTTTACACCATGTGTTGATGTGAGTGTGTAAGGTTTTCACTTTTTCTCAGATAGGGCTCATTCCTTTAACAGCAGTGTGATAAGCAGAAAGACAATAGGTAAAGATGTGAATGGAAAATATTCAACTCCTGATGTTTCTGCCTGTTACACAGCTTTTAGGATACCGAAGTCCCAGGTGGTCTAAATTGTGTGAGCAACACTATTTACATTACATATACTTTCCACTTTACACTATATACTAGTTGGATTATTTACAGTAGATTTATGTTACATAGAAATAATGAAAAAACAGCGTTCACAATAGAGGTAGTTCTTTACCTCAACCACAGTTCCAACTTCAAAGAAGAAGAGAAGTTTCACACTTTTACATTTCTGAAAACAGAACTTTGATTCAGAAAACCTCTACACCCATGTTTTAGTGGCAGACATTAAAACAGGACTGAAACCCATTATGAATCAACATACTGCCATTTTCTTAAAATTCAGGATAGCTATTTTCCCAATAATGATCCAACTCACATGTTCTGGAAACAGACTGCGAAGGATCTGGGATGGTCTCCAGTGGTGAACCAACACCTCCTTGAACATCAAAGAAAGCCAATGCTGACTATTTGGGGGGGGGGGGGGAGGGGCAAGCAGGTTAAGTGATTGGCTTTTTCCTGTTTTGGGGTTCTAATTGTTTCGTAAGGTAACTAAGTAAAAGCAGGATGACGGATTGGCAAGGGTTGACAAGCTGGCACTGCTCCAGTTAAGAATTTTGGATGAAATATTTTGGAGGAAGCTTCACACAGAAGGCACTTTTTGTTGATTTTCACTGCCTTTCAGCTCCTCCATATTTTTTAATGAATTACAGATTTATCTATACTAAAGCAAAGTTCCCCCAAACATTTTATTATTTTCAGAAGAAAGAAATTAAACCCAACTAAATGTCAAGTTATAAATTCACTCCTTTTAATTAGGTACTTAAATTATCTATGCTTTAAAAAAACCCACAAAGAGGGCCATTTAAGGCATCTTTTTTAAAATCCCGGTATGGCTTTGGTTTGCTGAAGTATTAAACATTGCTAAAAAAGAAAAAAAGGTGTTAATGCCTGAACATTAAGTGTTCACACACTCAGTATTTCAAAGACTACATATACAGCACATGACCACTAAAACATATCCTGTTGTAATAAACAAAAAAGTAATTCCAAGCTTATCTTACAGTAGAGGGCAGCCCAGAAGTCTGTGCTGAAGTAACGTAGAGAGAACTGTTATCAGGATGGGAAGAAACTACAGAATTTCCATTTGTTGGCGAACACCCTAATTTCAATTTTTCCAAGTACTCTGCATGTACAGGCTTGTGGCACTGAAGAACTTTGATTGCATCCTCTACTTTAAACCATTCTCTTTTCCTTCCTATTAATACAAAAAAGAAATAAAAATGTCAAAGTTCAAATAACAAATTTTGATATTCAAGATAACAGGAACAGTATTTAGTACACCTAAACCTGCTCTCCAACTTCCAATATCTGAAAGATGCCAAACTAGGCAAATACAGTAAAAAAATGATATGCTCTTGAGATCCATTATTCTTTAAAAACATGTTTCTTATCTCAGTAGCAGATAGAGAAACAGAACTGTGAAAAGTATAGGCATAAAGGAAGCTAAGAGCTTCAACCCTGTTCTTGAGATTTCCAAGCAGGTCTTATGATCTTAGGTGCTGAATAAGGATCCTGAGCACACAGAGCTATAAATAAAGGCTTCTTATACTACAGCTGGCTAAATGTGTCAATGTGAGATATTAACAGTTTGGACTCAATTTTTAACATGCAAATTTGTATGTCTGCTGCCTTGCCCAGAAGCAAGCTTCCTGCTTTCATCTACCACTTATCCCTCCCCTTTGCCACTATTCCATTCTTGTTAATTAAAACACAGTATTCTGAATATTATTAGATTCTAATTTTAAGTCAGATTCTTTCAATAAATGTGCAGCTTAGACTATCTCTTAACAAACAATTATGTCAGAGTTGTAAACTGGAATTATATGCTGCCATAGATATGTGAATACTATTATTAGAGGATCCCAGTTACTTAGCATTAAAACAATGAAGTCTTAGCTGCAGTAGTTTTACTTTGAACCTTAGAAGTACATCTATAACTTAAGTAGTATGATACTGCAAGTTCGCAGTTGTGTGAAAGCTGTCCTAAAAATAACACTCTGTCCTGAGATTGCATTACAAAGTCAGTGTATGCATAGCAGAAAAGGGCTTGCCTATATTAACTGAGTCTTCCCAGTCTTCCAGAATTTCAGTCACTGTAAGAACATATACGTAAGTCCTATGCTTCCGGTCTTGATTCTGCTTTAGTGCGAAGAAAAGAGAATACAAAATATTTAAATTTACATTTACAATATTAGAGTTTAAAATAAATTATAATCCACCTTTTCAATATAAAATGGTGTTAAAATAGTTAACATTCCAGAATTAGAACAAATCTCTTATAAATTCAGTAGTTATACACAAGCTAATAAATTAGACAAAAATCAAGAACATGATATTAGCTGCATCAACACTATATCTGCAATGTACTTGCTGAAATTAGAGACAGATGTAAGCTTTATGTTCTACTTGCTGAGATATAGTGGTGACTCCACTTTGTCCACCAGCATTCACTTTGTTAGGAACTCTGGATTATGAGATCTAGCACAATAAAATTGGCCTTAGAGCTACACAAATAATTCTGAACACTTTTTTTGAATAGCAAAAATAGACAACCGCTGTGCAAACACATTTATTTGCAGATCCTCATCACTGCTTTCAACTGCATTTGCAAAGTTGTGGATTTATTTATTTATTTATTTAATGGCCTTAGAGCTACACAAATAATTCTGAACACTTTTTTTGAATAGCAAAAATAGACAACCGCTGTGCAAACACATTTATTTGCAGATCCTCATCACTGCTTTCAACTGCATTTGCAAAGTTGTGGATTTATTTATTTATTTATTTATTTATTTAATTTATACCCCGCCTATCTGGCCCACCGGACCACTCTAGGTGGCTTCCAAATATAAAATCAAATAATAAAACATAGACAAATACATAATAATCAAACAAGAACAGCAGTAAAGATAAAAAGGAAAAGTAAGAAAAAATCAAGAGTTGGCTGGAGGGAAGGCCTGAATAAACAGCCATGTTTTTAATTGGGTTTTAAAGGTGCCCAGCGTGGGGGCCGCGCGAATCGCCGGAGGGAGATTGTTCCAGAGGCGAGGAGCCACCGCCGAGTGGTGTTTAGGGCTCTTTTTTGGCTGTTCTGGGGTCTACCAAGGCACTGTGAAGAGCAAGGCTCAGTCTACAGTACTTGGTAAGTGACTTTCTTTTAAGTTTTTTAAAAAGTTTCTGACCTCCGCCCCCCCATAAAAATGCATTAATTAATTTTCAATGCATTTTTATGAGAAATTTAGATTCAACTTGCAAACTTTTCAACTAGTTCTAGGCATCTAATAGAGAATGTATTTCCAAAGGGTGTTGTAGCAAGGAAACTAACTGTGCCTCCTGACTTCTAACTGGATTACAGTACCTGCTTCCTGATTTCAGCTACTATAGTTTGTATTCAGTTTTTTTGGCTTTGTGTGGCCTAACCTGTTGTGCCTTGCATGGTATAGATGTTCAATTATGTCAGAAACCCGAGATTTGGTCTTATGCTGAGCATGTGCTACTGCTGGTGAATGGGTTAAGCTTTGTGTTGCTGTTCTTTTGCATAACCTAAAGTAAATAAGGAAAACCAGCTGTTAAA